GGACTGCTGCAAAGTCTAAATACTAAATGGCCATTTGCACTGGAGTGTGAATAGCTCCAGGAACATTATCAGTCCGAACAACGTCCTCCCTTAACGAACAAATTGTTGCAAACCCCAGGCCTCTGGTGTTACATGTTGGAGTGCGTACCTATATCTTGAAACGGAGCGTTATAGAGGCAATAAACAGTCAAAATGATCAATTTGCACCCACAAGTATTAAGTGTGTCCGTTGGTGATGCTTTGTGTGTCTGATTAAATATGTAACGGGATTCTTGTAGAAGATTCCCAGTATTCCCACAATAAAAACAAATAAAAGTCTGATTCAATTTTATGTGATTTTTTTTCTGTTTGCTCTAAAAATAGAAACGTTCAACTACCTTTCACGGTACGATTACGTCAAACGCAGAAAATTTGCTTTGCTACCATGTACCATCAAGATATAATTCTGGTGATCTGTTTCTGTCTTATAAATACCTATCTATACGGCATCAACTCTATTTTAAAAAAAAAAGGATAATCTCGCATTATTACGGTTCCAATGTTGATTCCCCTTTTTTAGTGAAATATGTGTACTGAATAGGTGCGTACAGTATAACCCATTTAAAAAGTAGTCATAAAGCATCTACATCATTTGCACCTTCATTTGACGGCAACAAGAGAAAAAAATGACCGGGTTCAAGAGGATTCATTTAATTATTCCCGCCGCAATTACATAATTGAAAACGCCATTAATTTAACACCGAAAAAAATATTTTAATGAAACTCGTCACAGAGAGGCGAGCTTTCATAGTCGTCGTTAAGTCCGAAAAAATATAATTGCGCCTAAAAGCGACCATCAAATAAAATATGATCAAAGAAGGATGAAGATTAATTTTGTTTCGCGATCTACCCAACCATTTGCTTCATTGATTAGAGTTTACACAAAGGTCTTAAAGCTTGCTAAAGGTTACTTTTGAAATTGTTGATGCGCGCAGATTGTGAACATAGGCTTACATCTTTTTAAAAAAAGGAAATGAACTCGGAGGGTTGCACCTTCAATTACCTTTTACGGCCCTTTTTAATGTGTGCCATAAAGATGGATGCTTTTAAAGTGAAGATTTTGTGCACTTAAAATGTACGGGAGATCACAATCGTGTATGGAATCTCCTTCATATTGGCTTTTACGGAAGAGTGTCGAAATAAATAAAGGTTATTTCTCGTCTCTATTGGCAACATTATATGCGCTTCTTATGTTTTCTGTAGAAAATATTGTGAATTTTACTGAAAAGTGAAAGAAAAGTACAGTATGTTTGCCGTTTGGGAAGTTCCACATCAGTAAATTTTCGCGTGCAAAATAAGTTGGAGAGATTCGTACCGGGGATTTGCATAAGGGTTTATAAAATTTGTGACTGCTTGTCACAACATGGAAAATTGTCATGTATTTGTTAATCAGGTCAGAACTGATTATTCAGAACGTTTTCAACGTTCTTTGTGGATATTGTCGATCCTAACATGTCGAACAATAGTTGCACTGAAGGCTTGATTACTTTCTACCCCATCCATTTTAATAAATAACGCACAGAATAGAAATTTTCATACAGCCTAACTATACTTTGAAGAATAAACAAGCAGAAAACATAGTAGACACTAACCAAAACAAGTTACAAAGTCATTATGCAAACATAAATGACGAGAGCGTATTTTCCTCTAAATAATATTAATGCTAGGACCAAGAAAAAATACCGGTAGGCACGAGATCCTTACCTCATTCTCTTTCAAATGAGTCGCCTATCGTCGAAGTTTATACAACTTAATGAAAAATAGTGGAGCGTATATAAATACAAACAAATTTTGAAATGGGCATTAGTTTTACTTTTATTCGAAGTATTTACATTTGAAACTGTTTTAAATGCTTTCGTAAATAGCATTGCGCATTGTCTACATTAGAAATTTCATAAATAAAACATACAGCATGCGTAAACAGTAATTTTGAAACCGGTATTAGTTTTAGTTTCATTCAAAGTGCCTACATTTGATATTTCATTTAACTGCTTTCATAAATAAGAAAGTTGCCATTGCGCATGCGCAAAACCAAATTTTAAAACTTGTGTTAGATTTGTTTGTATTCCAAGTGCCTATCTATTAAATTTCATTTAAATGCGTCCGTAAATAAGGAAGTTGGAATTGTGCATGCGCAAAACAGCATTTTGAAAGCATCGTTAATTTTACTTATATTCGTAGTGTTTACATACAAAGTTTCATTTAAATATCTTCATAAATAAAAAAGTTAGCAGTGCACATGCGTTAAACCAAATTTTTGACACTGCGCATGCGCAAAACCAAAATATACGCAGAATCCTTGGACCAAGCTCTTTTAAATGAGCCCTATATCGCCCAAATCGGTTCAGTGGTGTAGGAGTACGTGTATTTTTATAGCAGATCCATTGTCAATGATATCATATATGATAAGACAGACTGGTACAAATTGCCCATACATTGGTACCTTTAAGAAAACAAATCCAATTTTACTTGAAAATTACTAACAATTTTTTTTACAATTTTTTTGCTCGTAGCGCTTGAAATTTCTATAACTTGGCTCGATTTAAACCGAAATCTCCCAGAAAAGCCATACCTTCACTGTTAACGCTCCCGTTACCCAAAACCGAATGCCCGAAAAAACTCTCTCTCTAACTTAATCCCTACCTAACTTGTGAATTAAATAAAGCCCCTTTTAAATGATCTCTAGTAATTAATTAAACCATCTCTCTTGAAGAGCCGATTTGCATGGCATATGAAAACCCACGAACTTAATTTTTTGCAGAATTGCATTTTTACAATATAGGTGATGATCTGACAACTACCTTGTTTTGTCAACTACTCCTTATTAGGATAAGATTACATTTTGTTATCTTCGACAAGTTGGAGCCCACAATTTCCTAAAGTCATAAAAAGTCAACACGCTATAGAATTCAAATGGTGTATAAAAAACGATCGCTAAACTTTAATTCATTCTCTATACAAATCAATAAAATTATTAAAATTTTGAAATTACTTCGACCACCCTATATATTCTCTGCTGTCAAAACCATCTGCACCCCTAAAAATCTCCATAACTTCAACTTCACCAAATTGCAAGAAATAATTCCAAATTAAAAGCTACCGTTACAAGGTGTGCTTCTGTTTGTGCAGGTGCAGTGAAAGGACAATTTATATATTAATCATCGGTCCAAACGACATTGAAACAGTTGGTTTCCTTTTCGAAAAATGAGGATGAATTTTTGAAACAACAACAAACTCCAAGTGGTATCCTCCTTGGCGATCTCCCTTTGCTCATTTGATTCGGATTTATCTTCAGTTAGATGCAGTAAATTAACTTACTTCCTTCACTGTTACGATTCACGACATTTTGATTTGGAAAAGGCAACAGTACTTATTGGTTTTTAAGGAGATTGCCATTTCGTTACTGCTCCGGTTTCTTTTTCGTGAATTATAATAATAATAATAACATATATTTACCCAACAGCATAAGACCTATAACAGGACAAAACCTTCATAAGCTATAACATGCTAACCATAATGCTTAAGAAAAATTAAGTATGTAGTAAATTAAATCTAATAAATTTTAATACAATTGACAAAAACAAAAAAGTTGAAAATTTCGAAAACAATCTAATGAGCAGATTCTAAGATGTGACTTATAGAGTCGTTGTGGATATCAACTAAATCACAGATAAGGAGCACATTAAATGGACAGGAGCTCTTGGTAGTAAATTTGTACGAGATTGGGAGACATAAAATGCATCAAACTGTCTACTATTAAGCCTAGGCACACGAAAATTAATAGATGCTAAAAGTTGAGGACAATCAGTAATATTGTTTAGTAATTTATATAAGAAAGTAAGACAAATTATAATTCCCCTAAATTTGCAAGATGTCATTTTAAAGGTATTTAATAATGTTCCATGATCAAATCCTGGACAAGGTTACGCACCAAACTGCTTTAATGATAAATATTTCAAAAATTTTCTTTGGATATTTTCCACTAAGTTTTTATAATATTTATAGTGGGGGTACCAAATAATTGCGGCGTATTCCAGTTGAGGACGAACTAAGCTAAAATACAAAAGCTTTATAACATCTATATATCGAAGTCCCTTGTGCATCTTATTACAAAGCCTAACATTTTGTACGCAGAAGCAACAGATTCGGTAACATGATCATTAAATCAAATAACACTTCCAGATCGCGAGTACGTATACATTGGGATAAAGTAATACAGTTCACGGTATACTTGTAATCAATTTTATGTACTTTTCTCGCTACCGACATAGATTTCCATTTGTCTATATTTAATTGTAATTTATTAACACCAATTGTAGATTGCAAACAAATCATTTTGAAGAGTAATACAATCAGAAATTGTATAAATTGATGAGTAGATTTTTACATCATCGGCAAATAGTAGTACATTCGAGGATATTACTTCGCATAAATCATTAATAAATATGAGGAATAATCGAGGACCCAAGTTAGAACCTTGAGGAACTCCAGAGGTAGCTATATAATAATTATAATGTGTAATTATGCCGAGGCGCGTAGGGATGGAATGGACCCGAGCCGAACCTAACTTTTTGAAAACTCAGGTCGGCTCGAATTTATGGATTATGGATATGGATGTCCAACTGGCCTCGGCACTCGGCTCTGAATTTTCAAACACTAATTTTGGATTTATTTTCTTCTTGAAGAAGCCCACGCACCCAATTTCGTCGAGATTCGAAATTGTTGTCGTATCCCCCTTTATGATTATTAAAGGAAAGCAAATAATGTAACCACGTGTCGCGAACTCGACTCAGGCAGTCATAATCGAAAATTTCACAACACGAATTAGTACTCAATTTTTAATTTAAAAAGTAAAATAGGCCATGTTTGCATATTGTTTAGCGTACTTATGTAAATTGGCAGCACCTTGGCGTTTATTTGTTCGCAATCACTCCTTTAAACTTTCCAATTTAGTTTCGAAAATGACGAGCAGTGAGGCATACGTGAAACACGCCGACTTTCCTAAGAGCGTGGCAATCGAAATTGTTCCCAGCTTAACAAGCAGGGTCGAATGGAAGGAAGGCTGCAGGGTGATCGACGTTGGTTGCGGGCCAGGTAACGTTACGCGCGAGGTTCTGCTGCCAAATTTGCCAAAATCGATCAAGACAATTGTGGGCATCGATAAGTGTCCCGATTTTGTCAAGTACGCCAAAATCCACTACGAGTGGGCGCCAATTACGTCCTTTAGGCTAATGGATATCGTTGACGATGACGTACCAGGCGAGCTTGAAGGATATTTCGATTACGCCTTTTCGCTTTTTTGTTTTCATCAATTTCATAACCACGAGTAGGTAGATGGGTTCTTGTTGCAAATGGATAAAATTGTTTCATTTTAGGGCCGCCTTTAGTAATGTGGCGAGGATGCTAAAACCTGCAGGTGAATTCCTGTGCTACTTTCCCATCACATCTTCCAGTGTTTTAGTGTACAAGGCTTTTGCTGAGGATGAAAAATGGAAACACTACTTCAGCGATTACGAGACCTACCGCAGCCCGTATAATGAATCGTCTGACATTAAAGAGGAACTTGAAACTATGCTGGCCTTTGTTGGATTTAAGATATGTTTCCTTAAAGTGGAAGAAAAAAAGCACAAATTCTATGTTAAAGACTTTCCTTGTAGGTTTCATTGCTTTTAGCGTTTTAGTGTACCTACTTTTAACTATTTTAGACACCTGCTCTTCCTTTGGTATAACAGTGCCGGATCGCCTGATGGACGAATTGATTGAAGACATTCCAGCAAAGTTAAAGTCTTTGGATTTAATTAAAGTGGGAGAAGATGATGAAGAATATTTAGATTATACGTACAATTTAGTCACGTTGCATCTTGTAAAGAACGATTAGTCCCGTTTTACCGATTTGCATTGTGTATTAGAGAGGACGCCCGGTAGCTCAAGCACTTACAGTGACCCTATAGAGATAGTGTGGTCATACGGTGGTGTTATTTTCTATGGGTAGTTGGGAGATCAGCCATGTTTTGGCCAAATACCCTGGAAATTAACATGGAAACCAAAGTGATGAATTTATCTTGCTGAAGACAATATTATAACAACGTTATTGTAACCATAGCAAAATCTACTATTCGGTTAAACCAATGAATTCAATGATAAATTGGAAAAAACATGGCCGACATGGAGCATTATGGCCACACTGTCTTTATACAGTCACTGTAAAGAACTGGCTTTACGATGTCAAATTATCCAGGTTTGATTTTCCAGTTCTACCAACCCCTATCTATCAACTATCAAACTACGTTTGTATTATATTTTCCTAAAATGGAAATACATGAGACTATTTTAGTTTTCTGGTTGAAATCATTACAACATATTATTCAGGTCAATGAATACTAACAGCTGAGAAACTTTTAAATAAAGTTTATACCTACAGGGTGCCCATTAACAAAAAAATTCTGAAACAACACAATTTTGTTTTTAAAACGTCTTAATTTAAACTCTACCGTTATTATCTAATTACTGTACCTCAAGGTTAACAAAAATCTGGGTATTTTGTGCAAATACAACGTCTTTGACTGTTTTTCTGACAAAATTGGAATATTATAATAAAATATGAATTGCATAAAATGGCACGGGTTCGTGGCGAAGGTTCGAATAAACGAGTGACAAGACTACAACAAATGTTTCATACTACTTTTTTTTGTTGAACCCTTCAATTTTAATTTGAAAAAAGTATTCCTAACTTTCCCCTTGAAAATTTATCATTAACTTAGGTTGGTAACACTGCATCTCCTTTCAAAATTTGAAATTAATCGCCGGCAAAGATTATTTACCAATATCTCTTCGTCGTGGTCGTAGCTGCCGAAATAATGAATTTGAAATCAAGCCTGAGATAGAAAAATAGATTAATGAAGCTCTCAACGCATGGAGTAGGTATCTGGCAGTAAAACTAATTTAATCAAATGTTATTAATCGGCACTATATTTTATAGATAATTCTAATAATTAATCAAACAATCTGCAAGTTTAAAACCTATTCATATAAATCACACACGATTGTGAATAGACGGCAATTCCATGTGGTACAAAAAAAAATGCGCTTAACTCAACACAGACGATATATCAAACATATTTTAGTGCTGTGTTTGTGTGTAATGTATAATTAATATAATAATATATTAATATCATATAATATAATAATATGTAGCGATTTCTGTTTAAACGTTTTTTCTTAATTCGTTTAACATTCGAAATATACTCTCGCTTAAGTCGTTGAATTTTTCACTCAACGCTTAAGTGTAGTATCCTTGTGCTCTTATTTAAATCCTTGCGCCATCTAGGTATCTTCTTTGCAATCCCCTAGTTTTAGATGTAAGTTAATTACCTGATACTACATACTTTGTTTTTGTCGCTGGCGAAGATTTACAGATATCGAGACACGATTTTGTTGACGCTTACTTTTATTACTCCGATAATTCATTTCTGTTAGTTTCTAGATTGCATTGTATCCTTCAGATTAGCTGTGTTATACCGATTTAGTACCGTTGCTTTGTGAATTAGTTTTGAAGTTACCGAGGCTTTGTCCGAAGTCGATATCTACAATTTTTTTGTTTACTCTGAAGAATTTACTCGTATTAGCTTGTTTACATTTTGCATTAATTATTTGCATTGCTATTGAATAGAAATTTAGTTATTTGTGCATCATAAAGTACTTTTCTTGAATTTAATGTCACTTTTATGCAGTGTAACAGTTTAGTTTATTCATATTCAAATTTCAAAATTACCGCTTGCTAGGTTAGGTAGGATATAGGTGAGATGGCGTCACTTGTACGCGTGTTTCTTTCCTCGCGCAGAATCGGGTTAGTTTTTCACTTCATTTCCGTTTTAAAGCCAACGAGGTTGTACTTGTTGTAGAGCGTGGCATTGTGGACTCTTCTTAAACCAGTGGGTAATATTTGCCATCATTCACGTGAAATCTCTGGCAATTTTACCTTTTTATTGGCGTTGTCGAGTAGTGTAACTCAGAAGCCGTTTTCTCCATTGCGAGGCTATATCTGGTCGAAGTTCATCGCCCTCCCTACATGTAAGTGAAATGGCGTTGGCTTTCTTTTACGTTATGTTATCTAAAATTCTTTCAGATTCACAATTTGAGGTTGGATAATTTCCATATTTCATTGATTTAAGTATTTTTCATTACCCTCCTGACGATTTCAGGTATGTTATTAAAAATCTCGTTAAGGGAGTGTTACATCTTCATTACTTTTAGGGGGTCCATGTAGTAGATGAATTCTTGTACCGGTCAATCTTTGTACAGACGAATCCTTGTATGGTATAGTTTATAGTATATCCTTGCACATTCTTGTGTGCGGAGGACATTGACCTGGCATAATTTTGGGATAGTAAATGAATTTGCATCTTGCGAATATTCCGGAGTACGAACACCTGTTGATTGCCGGCAGCTATCCGGCGTACCACCGAGTAGATAAGCGCTAACACCTAAACGATACCGGGAGCGACCAGCTGATTGTGGAATTTTCGGAAGATACGATCTTTTACACAACTTTTTTTTTATTTGCTTCAATACCGTTAATCTAGTGTAACCTTCCGACGATTTATGATTGGAGCTTTGTATTTTGTTCGCGTCTAGTGTTTGAGGTCGTGGCTCTCTTCAAGAGCAACGCACCTGTATTTAACGTATGGGTAAACGAGCCGGCTACGAGTAAGCTATTTTTGGCCCTTCCGGCTCATATAATCGTTCCGAGCGTTGTAGCTTGGGGTTTGTTTTTGTGTTACAGAACTGGAACTTCGAAGGAGAGCTCTTTTTCGGAGAAGACAGCGTATGTGTTATTCAAGGTAAGATTTTTAATTTACTTGTACCCAGTGTTGCCTATATGAGTTGTTATTCGGGTTAACTTAATTCAATCTTGGAATCCATTGAAATCTTAACTACATTTTTGCTCGATCATTGTTGTAGGGGTCTGGTAACGTAATTATTAGGGAAGTGTTCATGAATTTATTTGGGAATTATTTTTGTCATTTAAAGTATTTGTTATTGTCGTATTGAAGATACATTTTATTTGCCGATCCTGCACCGTTTTGCCAGGATTAATAAATCAGAATTGCTCGTAGTGAATTTATTATTTGGCTCTCTTGTGTTTTCCCAATTTCTATACAGGAGAGGTCAGAATTTGTGCAAAATTGGGTGGCGCTCAACTAATCATTTCTAGTAACTACCAAAGATCAGAACTTATGTTATATGCCCAAACGAACAACCCGCTGTGGAAGATTCTCATCTCGAGCCCTTCTTTTAATTAAGAATCTGAGCTAGCTGGCCGTTTATGCGGCGGGGTTTGAGTTTTACAGCGCCGAACTAACCTCACGTTATAGCAGTTATACCCGAAATGTAAGAACAATCGTAGTCGATCAAAATTTTGCTTTTGCTAGTGTAAAGCCATTTGAATTATTGATTCTTTTTGAACATTAATTTCAGTTTTTAATATCCGATGGACTTCGTGTCAGACGTTAGAATTGCTACTTAGCAATATTTTATGTGCAGCGCGATTCACTATCCCCTTTTATTTGTTTGTTGTGTTATTTTCTGTTACAGATTCGCAGAACGCGCCCTTCTGAATGGGCTCATCCCGCCTTCATTTTTTATTTCTGATCCACAAACTACATTAAAAATAAAAAGACCCGTGTGTCCTCAATTTTTATTTGCGAGTAAAATAACCCCAAAATAAATTATTGAAAAGCTGTGTTTTTAGTCCGAATTTGAAACGCTTCAGACTAAATACGTCACAAACCTACAACCAATCACGTAGAAGTGAGCTGGCAACCTTCCGCGAGGGTCTGACGTTTGTCACATTTGACGTTTTGAGAGGGATGTTTAACTGCATCTAGCACGAAAGTGACAAGTGCCTGTGACAGATGACGCAAGTTATAAATGCCATTCTCCTGCATTATTGCCAAGTCGTTATGGGTACGTTCCACTTAACGCCCGCAACGACCACGACGCCCGGCAGCCGTTCCACATAACGACCACAGTCATTATGGTCGCAATCGCGACGTCAGATATGACGTCATTACTAGCGACCGCAACGAGCCCACGGCGCTCGCCTATCGTACCTGGGTCAGCGCGGCCGTTCTAATTTTATAACCTTACATTCTTGACAGGAGACATTTAACTGATTGTTTGAACACGCATGCGTTACAAATTTTTCGTTTTCGCTTTGGAGAAAATATAACTACATGTTTCAGAACGTAACCTTGTGGTGGACATTACACTATGGATGTTCTACATGCACAAACTGGTAAGTATATATGCTGATTCCTGAATGTTAAAGTTATTTCTTAAGGAAAATTCTGCTTTAACACAATTTTCTTTATTGTAGATCTTAGATTTGCAACTAGTTTGCTGCAAAGTGCTTTACCAGGGAATGTGAATGAGACTCGTATAAATGGTAATGCAACGATTGAAGAAAATGAGAATGCACGTTACTTTTGAATGAAGAAGAGAAATTGTTTTCGAAGAAACATTCCCACAAGAAATTCTGGGGAGAAGTGTTCATTATCATCGTATTAAGTATGGCCGCAGCATTTATGATAGAAATTCAAAAGTCGTCTTCAATATTTTATTAACAAGAAGCAATATCTTGTGTAAAGTGAAGAAGTATGTGTCAATAATTGGTACTGAAAAATAAAAAAAATATTTACTAACTTAATGTGACTTTTGAATTCATAATCCACCTCACTTTGTATCCTTTACGCATTACGATCTCCCCAACGGCATCCATGTTGGAAAACGGTTCACTCACGCGTGACGTCACACCGTACTCAAAAGCGTTCCACTTAAGGTTTCGCCCACAACGCCTCTAAGCTAGTGGAACGACAAAACCGCGGTCGCGGTCGTGATCGTTACGGGCGTTAAGTGGAACGTACCCTATGTCATCTGAATGGTTCTAGGAGCTGATTGGTCGGGCTTATTACGTCACAGAGCCCGCCACAATCATATCGTTTTGAATAAACCTTTAAAACCGCACATGTTCATTATTTTTTTGCGAATCAGCCTCTATTTTTAAATAAACTTTTACTGTCCAAAAAAATGTTTTATGGTTTCAGGTACACGCTTATTAAATTAGAACTGCGGAATTCAACTATACTGTAAACCCCCATTTAAACGGCAACTACGACCAGAATTCAAAGGTAATTTTTGTTATTTTCGACGATTCCTTGACGTTTGATTACATATTGGTTTTCGATACAATCGAATTGTAATTATTACATTTACTTGATGTTCACTTATCGATTATAGTTGTTGTTATAGTTGTTTCTGCGGAAGCCTGTTTCGGTATTAATATTTTCTTTATCTACGTATTGTTCCCCTTTTTACTAAAAATTAATTTAATTTCAAATATTGACATAGCAGATGTATATATTACAGTGACCTATTTTTAATATGTTAGTGTATTTTATTCCTTTAGCTTAGCAAGACCACAACAAGTTGCTTCGTTACTAATATAATGATATCAATGATAATCAATGGATTATTTTGTTAATAAACAAAGCCAGTATCTAGCACCTACTTTAATGCACCTTGCACTACTGTTGTGTGTGAACACTCAGGTATACCAATCTATAACTAAAAATTCCTCCGAAATCGTGTAAGAATGAAAAATTTACCAAAATTAATGCGGGAATGAAACTCATTTCGACATCAAAATCGTTCCTAGAAGATGCGAAACATAGAAAATAAAGGAAGATTTTCGCTTCCAAAAACATTGCAAAAAGAAGGCAGATCAAAGAATTTTTTTTAATCAAATCAATCGTGGCTGGCGCATTGCACAATCCGAAGGGCATGCTGGTAAATTGCCATAATCCTGAGCCAAGGCCGTCTTTTCCCTTTCTTTTGGAGCCACTTGCCAATAGCCACTTCTTAAATCTAACGTTGTGAATATTCTTGATCCAACAAGAGTATCTAAAGTGTCGTCAATACTCGTTGTAGTTCTTAGTCACGTTATTGAACTTACGATAATTTACACAAACTTTGATACAGCCGTCTCTCTTCTTCACAAGGACTATTTGATTCCTCAATTATATTTTCCTTCTTCAAATCTTGAATCTTCTCCGGCTCGTCCCTCTTAGCTAACGCCAATCTTCTAAGTGGTTGTCGGATAGATTGGCATTTGCCAGTATTTATTTTGTCTCTTAACTATTTTGCATCGTCCTAGGCCTCTTCAACTCAATCAAAAACACCTCGGTACCGAAGTAACAGGTCACGGACGCTTAGCTTCTGTTCGTTAGCAATTCCGCCATCAAGGCAGTCAAATTTTCAGGGATCTTCTTCGAATCTGGTTGGACCACTCGTACACCCGCATACTTATTGGTTTTCCATTAACCAACCCTCAGAGCTTTCGGATCCGGATCGACGATTGTCCCACCTCATATATCCTGTTTAGTTTTCTGATAAATCAATTGATGTTCTGGGTTCCTGTGACTTTTTGCATGCACTCATCAAATGCCCCAGTTGACCGCAGTTCCAACATCGAGGGCGACTCTTTTCACTTCTTTTCTAGATTTTGTATCTTCTTCAATACCTCTTTAATTGTGGTCTGGAAATCGGTTTCTCCCGTCGGGGTACAGACGTTCTTCTTACTTCCGAGTCACTTTTAATTCGTTGAGGGTCTTCATTGTTTACACACCCCACACCTGACACCAGTGAAAATTTACAAGATTGTTACACGAACTATATTGGTATTGGTATAAGAAATATTCATTTTCAAACCAGAATTATATTTTTTCTTTTTAACTCAACGTCATACCAAAATCCCAACTGGCCGGTAGACTGATTTCGTGTCAAATTGCAGTGCGTAACACTATATCAATAAATCAAAATATCATTTGTATGGATAAAAATACATATATTGTCGCTAGAATATTTTAATTCTTCGTTAGGTACCTTAAAGAAAATCAGTTCTTTGTACAAGTGGTCACTCCCATTACAACTGTAACTACTACCCGCACATTAAGTTAATTTTCCTGACAGCGCATTAATTGAGAGTCCTGTAACAACAATAATTAATTTGTTTGTGATGTATAATAGAACATCAACAAACCACGAAGGGTTACCCTAATTAGGTGAACAGCAATAAATCTTGCAAAATATCAGATAACGTTTAAAATGTATTATTTATTGGAATGCGAATTATAAATCCCTATTACAAGATACTGCTGAATGGTTAAGCTCTTTACACAATACAAATTAGGCTATCGTATTCTGAGAATCCAAATTAAGCTCGACAGTATTAGGTGCAAATTCCGAACATCTGCAGTATGAAGTTTAACACAGATTATACACAGAAACGTGGGGGTAGTTGTTACTTTAGCAATGATCATAATATGAATTGGATACGGAAAGGCGTTTAACTAAATCGATGATTACAATAACAACGTTCCAAACTCTCCCTTATATGAAAGGTTAGATATTTACATTTTATCGACTTTTACCTATATAAAATGTCTACAAATGTCGTTCACCCCTTTAAACTAGAACGATTCATTATAGATAATCCAGCACAGAGCGAAACGATTTATTATATAAACGCCACGGCTAAATTCAATGCGCTTATAAAAATGACAAAATTATGAATAACGCAACAATTGGGACGCACGCAAAAGCCACCCTTAAAACAGTGAAGTTCGGTATCTCGAAACGTTAATGGGTAAATTACTAATTGGGCTCCAAACTTTTGTATTTATAAACTTTGGTTGCGGGCGCATAAAAAGTAATTGTTCGAACTGGATTTAATGCAGATATCTAACTCGATTGCCTCGAAAGGTAAAGTTTGATGGTTTTAAAACCCTCGGGGGACTTAAGGCGTTGCCGTTCAATTAGATTTGGTTTACCCGAATTATTTATATATTTATAAATAATTCGGGTAAACCAAATCGTCGAGAAGTTTCAACGCTGTCGAAACTATTGACATTAAATATGACATAGTTGCACATTAGGGCTATGGCGAAGTTTGTGTAGCCGGCCACGAACTTAGAAGTTAGAAAGTATTACGTTGCGTGTTTGCGGACTGTGCCGGGAAATAAATCATTTTTATGGTTGTTTCGAAATTTACTTTGCCTTAAAATCTGCTATCGCATTTTTGGGAGTACAATGCACAAGCATGCAAAGATTTCGGCCATTTCCGTTATACTGTTATAGCTATACCCTAACGTGAAAGATTAAAAACGTTTTCGAATCAGCAGGAATTAACCGATATCTGTGTCAATCTGAACTCATATAAGGGTTGTTTATTTATACTACGATCGGTTCTTATAAATAAATACCATAGCGTCCCTACGGCGGTACCTTCCATGGACTTTATTTGGTGAGATTGTGTCTGGTTATTTCCTTTAATCTTCATACACACCCCATTTGCAAGTTTATAGAGCTTTAAAGTCAGCTAGCTCTAAACGTCTCCTTTTATAGGCATATTTTGCTACTATAAACATGCTTTTGGTGACAAAATTATACAATGGCATTATTCAACGGACAATTTATACATTAGTTCAATACTACAACACTATGGTTGCATTTTCCACCATCAAATTGTAATTACAACGAAGTCAGTGTCGTCTAAATGGAATTTTAGGTGAGGTCAAAGAAGTGAACTTCCGAAGTATCATCAGCTCGTTTTTTGCGTTGTTTGTTAGTACGTCTGTTTGTTAAAAATCGTAATTATGACCGGATTATTTAACTTCAGGTAATTCAAACTTTATTTAAATTCGATCGCTTGTTGCATGCAGCGTGGTACACGTGTTATTTGGCCCTGAGTGACAATTTTTATTTCCACTTTGATTGATTTTTGTCTAATTTGTTTCATCTGTAAATTCTTTGCTTCGAGCCCAAATTGCGACCTAGATAAGAGTTCTCATAATTTTTCTATTTGGTACCCGAAATGATAATATTAGGTTCGAAAATTTGTAATTTAAGTCTTTGAAATTGCGGAGGCGGTTACGGCTTCATAGTTTCTCAATTTAAGAAAATCAAAGTCTTATCGAGATTTTTCATGGTATCAGTTGCCGGACGTGCTTCAGGAAGGTTTTGTGAGTTTAATAACATAGCAATAATGTGTCAATTAATTATCAAAATCTCTCCGAAGAAGTAAACTTTTTTTTATTTTATTAGATACTTGTACTAATTTAATTTAAAACGCATTTCACAAATAATTTCAATAACAATATTTAAAGTAAATAAAAAATTTCTTCTAGCCTGAAAGAATTGTTGAAAGTTCCCATAATGCAACTTGCATTCCCTCTTTGAATTGCAATACTAATTTTCTGTTTTAAGAATAACGTTGAACGACTGTCGTAGGTTTTATGTTTAATTAACTCTCCTATAGCTTCAATAAATGATATTGCTTCATTACACCATGGTCCAAGGGTTTCGACAGCAAAGGGATGGGATCGAATAAGTAATTATCTGTGACAAGGTCCTTATATTTGTTTAGTTTTCTTTTAGCAGCTTGTTTTGCAATTGTACCCGCTTCTTTGGAAGAGGAGTGAATATATGATGGTGTAAGAGTGTCTGGTACTGTAGCATCCCAGATCAGGATTTTTCCTTTACTCCATGGAATAAGAGTTGAAC